AGCTGGAGCACATTACCAGTGCTGGAATGTCTTCTAACAGCACATCTGAGCTTTCTAAGCAATCAAGAAGCTCTCTGAGGTGGTCATTTCAAGTGGGGAAATGCTAATTCCTGTCAGTTTTCCATTTCATCCACTACTGATCTGGATCTGAGACTGGGGCTCCGTGGGGACTCCAGGTCCCTCACCCTGGGTCACCCCAAGGAAGGTTTTGGTGTGGCAGCACCCACCTGGAGATGAAAGCACAAATGAGGGGGATAACAAAATGCAAACCAGGGTGGGATGGAATCATTAGCATCCTCCTGTGCTTCCTGCTCCCTCCTACAATCCCCCTCTGCCTTTACAGCTAAATTTTCTCATTTACTGGTGCAGTTCAGGAATGAGGCATGCAAACTGATTATGAGCTACTGCTCTTAATTTCTTTAGAGTCCAGGGGGAAATTCTTATTCTCGTTCATTCTCTGCAACTCCTGACTCTTTGGGGTTGTGTAGGGAACACAGAAACTCAAAAATGATCAGGTTGGGTGGTGACACACCTGAAGCCACAGCTGCTGTGGCACAGAACATGTCCCCAGTGGCTCTCAGGGGCACAAGGGAGGCTTGCCAAGGTTTCCAGGAGGTCTTGGCCATGCATGTAGTGCCCAAGGTAGACTTTGGAAGTGAATTAATTGAAAATTACCTGGTTGCACACCTTAGAGGTGAACGTTCCACACCTGTATTGAGTGTGGGACCCAAGGGTCAGTGGCAGCAGGCTGTGATTTCAGGGAGGGCCAGGACAGGAGCTGTTTTCTCACTTTCTCACTTTTCTCAATTGCTGGTTCATTAGTGAGGCACTAAAAGCAGCATTACAGTGATCACGAGTGGTTTCCACTCTCTGCTGACATCTTTGGGACTGGCTCATGTTCTCCAGCCTCCCATTTGGGGTGGAAATTTGCTCCCCACCCATCCTCAGACTGCTGAGAGCTACAACCAGCAATATCAGCAACATCAGCAACATCAGCAATATCATCAATACCAGCAATATCAGCTGTGTTTGTTTTCTGCCCTCCAGGCACTTCTGGGAGCCAATGAACCCCTGCTCCCGTGCTCAGGGTTGTCTGTACACACCTGTGGGCAGGTGCAGCCTCTGCAGCACTGACAGAACAAGTGGATAGAGAAAAGTCATTCCTGAAATGCACAGCAGGAGCAGGAGGAGAAGGAGTCTCCTGAATCCCACAGCTCTGGAATGCTGTGCCTCCTAAATAATGAACTAATTTTCTTAAGGTGCCACTGAGTAATGGCTGAGTGAAGCAGCAGATCCCAGCACGGAGCAGAGTGGCTGAAATCCAAGGGAAGCAGCCAAGGCTCCAGAGGCAGGCTCCAGTGCCAGTGATCATTTCATGCACCACATTCAATTTCTGGTGACAGCGACTCCTCGGAGCCCTGGCAAATTAGAAACTGCTGGATGCAGCAGCAGCACAATGATAACAGTTAATCTTCTGCAGGGGCATGATGGTGAAAGAAATGGCTTTTAGATTAGCTGTCATTAGAGTGAAACATCTGCCCCTGCAAGCCAAGGGGACTGTCCTCACTTGGGCACAAGGAAGCTCATTAAATTCCTGGGTTTGCAGGGCTCTGGGCCAGAGGCACACTTCCACCACGCTCTGGGGCTGGGGAGCACAATGACCTGGGCTCAAAGGCAGGAAGAAGAATTCCCTGGAGATGTGTCAGCTTCCAAAGCAGCTGCAGAAGTTGGTTCCTGTGTTTGGGTTCCCTCAGTACCTGGGAGCACACAGCGAAGTGAAATAGGAAAAATTAATGGGAGTGATGGGGTTTAAAAGGAAATGAAACCTTCTGAGATCACAAAAGCTCAAAGCTGAGCTCTGCCTGAACTCTGAGGAAAAGCTTCCAGTGGAATATTTAATTCCAAACACTTTGCCATCATTTCTAAGCTGTTCTTTGCCTGCTGGACTGCAGAGCACGAGGTCAGGAAACTTCTCTTGTCTAACTCAATTTGTGATGCAAATATTCTCACATCTGATTTTCCTTTCACATGCTTAGAAGGAATGTTGAATACTTCAGAGGGGCAAGCCTGGCAGGGTGCTGTTTGTGCAGGAACATTCTCAACCATGATTTCACAGTTTTCTTTCACCATTCATTACCTGGTGATGATGTGCACCACGGTTATTGAGGGTGCAGAATATTTTAAAGGAACAAAATTTATGGAGAGCAAGGAAATAGTTGGTAGTGTCTGTACAGAGCTCAGAGCTGAATAAACTACAGATATTTAAGCTGTAATTAATTAATGACTGCAGCTTCAAGCTGGATTACAAACAGATATCCAGTTTCATCTTTTATTAGGCAGTATTTTCTTCTTGATTACATTAATCTTGATTAATATAAGTATATTTGAGTTCTTCACAGTTGTGTGACATTTCCAGCAGAATTCCTTGAGGATGTGTCCTACAGCACATTGTACAAGCAGCAATGAAGTTCCTTTTCTAAGTATTCAGCCTTGGGCTGCTTGCACAGGGTGAGGGAAGGGTTTCAAAGCAGTGTGAAAGAGCTCCTCAATCCCCAGGATTTGCAGTTTAACATTAAAAAAAGGTACAGAAATTATAATTGCATGTTTTTCTTCCAGATTCTTCTATCTGGAAGAAGTAGAACCAGTTTTTGTTGTTGTTGTGGTGTTTTGTTTTGGTTTTGTGGGGTTTCTTTTGTGGTTTTGTTTGTTTGTGGGGTTTTTTTGTTTAGAAAATGGCTTTTATCTAATCACAGAATTATGAACTTGTTTGAGTTGGGAGGGAACTTAAAGCTCACCTGATTCTACCCCTGCCATGGGCAGGGACACCTCCCACTATCCCAGGTTGCTCCAAGCCCTCTCCTAGAAATTGGCTGGAAGAGTAAGAACACAGCAGAGAATTAAAGAATAAATCAGCAGCTTGGGTACAGGCAAAGGAATTTAGTGGGCACAGACAGAGGACAAGGAAAACAAAAGAAACCAATGGAAATGCTGATGAGAAGAGTCAGAAGCTGCTGGGAGAAGCAGCCATTCCTCGAGGCCATGAGGAATAGACAGCCACCTGAAAAGGAATATTTCCTCTGGACAACTCTCTAGCAGTATTGCAGGGATGCCTGTGGTCCTTATTTTTAAAGAAAAAAAATTCTTTTGGGGTAATAAATGCATTCTGTCCAGGAGAATACATTGCTTAACAAAAAAAAAAAAAAAAAAAAAAAAAAAAAAAAAAAAAAAAAAAAAAAAAAAAAAGACAAAAACCCCCCAAATTCACAATAAATCCATTGATTCCGTTAGCTCACTAGGGAAAAAAAAAATTTTAAAAAAAAAAAAAAAAAAAAAAAAAAAAAAAAAAGAAAAAAAAAAGAAAGAAAACAGGCCAAAATGCCCCAAACTTCCAGACTAAAGGAGGGAATATTACTCCGGGGGACAGGACAACTGGATTGTCTTCTCAGTGCTTTCCATGGTCTGAAAAAAGGGATATCTTGTTTTTACATAATGGAAAGACTTGCAGAAAAAATTACAAACCCTTAAACAACCACTTCTCAAAAATTTTCTTGAGACAGAATTTCCTGTCTGTTGGTTACTACTGGAAGGAAATCACGATCAATTATTTTTTCCAGCTTGCAAATGGAGCCAACGGTTGTTTAAGGATATCATTTCATGCTTGGAAAGAAGCTCTCCCACAGCATCTTGATGCCCATTATGAGGAAAAAGCCTCATCAGTGTCACTAGGATTAAAATTTAATTTAAAGGGCAAGAAGCCCAGTCTTACCTGTGCTCCTAGGGCAGAAAAAAGGAGCATGCAGAGAAGAGAAGGTGGAAGGTTCCAGGTGGTATCACTGCTATGGGCTGATCCCACGGCTGCTGAATGAAGTTCCACCCTGGAATGTTGCCTTTGAGACAACAGCTCAACAAAAAAAGGAGAATGCTCCCTCTTCCCTTTCATCCTAATCAAAGCAGCAGAGCACTCCTCAGCACTGCTTTAATCTTTGTTTTCAGCAGTAGTTTCTCTTTTTCTCCATGGTTCTCTTAGCACGCTCCAAAAACATTGGGACAGCTCCTTTGGAGCAGCCAAAACAAAGGAAGGAGCTGCTGCTCTGGGCCCCACCTCGGGTCCTTTCTGCTTCTGGGCTGAGCTGAGGGCTCCCATCACACAGGTGAACCCCCAGGGATGTCCCAGCACTGCCCCAAGGCCACCCCAAAGCTGGAAAAAGGAAAAGGACAGCAGGACAAGCCCTCCTGGGCCTGCCAGGGGCTGATTTCACCTTTTTCAGCAGGGAGGAGGAGGAGGGAGGAAGGAATGCTGCAGCTCTGGGAGCAATCCCATCCTGGACGCTGCCTCCTCTTGTGCATCACCTCTTCTGCATGAGCTGCAGGGCTGCCTCTGGGGCTTGGACACCCAGGAGTGTGAGGGATGGGATTCAGCAGCTCTGGCAGCCCCCAGAGATGATCAGTCTGTGGAGGGATGATCCCTGTTTTCTGCTGGCCAAGGGAGACACCAAGGTGAAGCCTGCAGTGGATATCAGGGCAGGAGTTCCTGAGTGGATGTTTGATCTCTGTGGAGTCTCACCTTTCCCCTTATCTGTTATTTCACTGCCCCTGGAGCAGTAGAACACTTTATCTGTTATTTCACTGCCCCCTGGGGCAGTAGAACACTTTATCTGTTATTTCACTGCCCCCTGGGGCAGTAGAGCAGTTTTATCTGTTATTTCACTATTCCTTGGGGCAGTAGAACAGTTTATTTGGGGTTTGTGCTGCCCCATCCCTGATATTGGTGCTGATCCTGGCAAATCCACTGCATTCCCACCAGGGCAGATCCTTGATTCGGGAGTGGGGCAGGAGAGGGGTGTAGCACACCCCTTCAAATTAAATTTTAATCCTAGTGACACTGATGAGGCTTTTTCCTCATAATGGGCATCAAGATGCTGTGGGAGAGCTTCTTTCCAAGCATGAAATGATATCCTTAAACAACCGTTGGCTCTATTTGCAAGCTGGAAAAAAAAAAATTGGATCATGTTTTCCTGCCAGTAGTAACCAACAGACAGAGCCTTCACAAACACCTTACAGGAGTTACTTTTGACTGATCCTTTTAACTGGCCCCTAAAAATAAGGCAAATTGATTGAACAGTATGTGTTAAAGCTCATCAAATGCTAGCTAGGAAATACATGATTATTATTCATGAGCTGCAAGTGTTTTGAATGTTTTCCTTCAGTAGGACTGGAACCCCTGTGTTAGAATTTGTTGTTTAGCCAGAAAAAGGCTTTTTTCACAATGGGGAGTTTACATAATCCACAATAATTTTAAGGAATCCTGTATGCTGCAATTTGCTTTTTTTTCTCATTGCTCTCTTGGTCAGTTTTGTTTTGCTGCCTTAAACTTTCTATTCCATGTTCAGTGTCATGCCTGTTGCATATTCATCATCAGCTTCTCTTTCTTATCTTTCTCATCTCTCCTTCATCCTTGCAGCCTCCCAGAAAGCAATCAGACTGGAAAATCCCCAAACAGAGAAATCAATGTATGCTACAGCTCGATGCCTCCCTTTTGAGTCTTGCTTTCAGCTTCTGGAGCTCAGAACTTTTATCAATTTTGAGCCCATAGTCTGTGATTTTCCAGGCCTCTTCATAACGCTGCTTTTCAAAGTTACACTGCGCAATTTTGTGAAATATTTTGGTTAAACATTCCCTGCCAGGGCACTCAGTGATGGTGCCCAGGGCCAGGGGCTCGTCCAGCTGCAGGGCTTGCATGTAGTGCTGCACTGCTGCCTCCTCCCGAGCCAGGGCCAGCAGCAGGAAGCCCTGGCAGCAGTGGTCCCCAGCCTGTGTTTTTGGGCTGTTACAGCCATGCCCTTGGATCACTTTTTCCATGTCTTTCAGAGCTTTTTCATATTTTTTCAGGTGCATCAGGCAGGCAGCTCTGCGCCTCAGGTACCTGGGGCTGGCCCTGCTGGCCAGCACAGCCAGGCTGTGGTAGCCCAGAGCCTGCTGGTGGTCGTGGCTTTTCATCAGCACCTTCCCTTCCTGGGCTGCTGCCTGTGGGGACAGAGTAAGCCATGTTATAAAGGGGAAAATCCATGTAATGAAGGGGAAAAAATAGGGGAATATCTAGTCTGGATCGGTCATACACACCGACACTGAGAAATGGTAGTTGTTTTATCAAATGTTGGAATTGCATCTAGCTGGAGAAACAATAATTGGCGTATTTTTGCATACAGATAAGAGTTCAGCTGCTCCCTGCACGTGGCCTTGGAGAAGCATTTTTGTCATCAGCCTCATTGCAGGAGACCTGGAAGGGCAGGAAAATCCTTGGAGTGCATTCCAGGGGAACTGGAGTGTAGCTTGTCACTAAAAGTTTGATTTTGGCTTCCAGACTGAAATAATTCAGGTGCCACCTAGAAAGTGCCATGAGTGGATCCCTGGATTCTGGATTAGGTCTCTGTGTCCTTTTTTTCCATTTATTCAATCTTAAGATATGACCAAGACATAAAACTCTTGGCTCACTGCTCACTTGCTGTTATCTCAGGAGCTTCTGATGTCCTTTGTTTCTGCACAGAATTTCTTCTGAATTTGTTTGAATTCCTTAGGAATGATGAACAAAATGCCTGGACCAACATCCCCAGGTGCTGCCCCACAAATGCAAGTGCTAAAAATGATTTTTGTGTCTCTACTGGAGCTTACCTAAGCTGTAGAAAAAAAAAGGCCAACTGGTGGCTTTGCTAATTGTTAATCTTGAGTGCAATTTGAACTCTCTGCCCCCATCTGAAGGGAAAAACAACAACAAGAAAATAGAAAAGGCCGAAAGAGCCACATAATTTTTAGGTTCATGGAGGTCAATGAAGAAAACTCCATTAGAATTATTTGCCTCAAATGGATTTCTCATTATTCCCCTTTATTGGTAATAAATAAAGCTTTTAACGTGCTGCAGCACAGTGAATATTCAGGTCATAAACAAGCTGCCATCAGCAGCTGAGGGTTTACAAAAGACTGGGCCAAACAAGATGAGGCTCAAGCAAAGGATAAATATTTCCATCCTCCTCATTTTGGGGGGTAACTCCTGCTTGGGGATGCAGAAATCCAGTTAGCCCAGCCACTGTTTTAGTAGCCACACCTGGCAGCCAGGTCAGGTCCTCCAGACTCTTTGTGTGCCCCTTTTATTTTGGCTGACTGAGGTTAGGATTGATTGCTGTCTGCCAGGACTGAGAACAGGTTCTGCAGGGAAAGGATCAATACTGCAGGGCAAGTCCCAGCACCTCATCTGAGAGCAGTGGCATGACATAATTCAGCCTGTCCTCATGGTTTAGGAGGAATTCTGCCCCAGTTATGTCATTATAATGCACATAATAGATATATTTTGCTATTTTTATATAGAGCAATATATATCTATATATAATATATAGCTAAATAAATATTATATATATAATATATAAAAACAATTATATATACAGAAATAATTTTTTATTTATATATATATATGTCTATTCCTATTTTTCTTAACATATTTGTTAAGGAGTCTCTCAGCTTCCACACAGAGAAATAGCAATAGGACTTCTCCCCCGGGCTTTAACAATTCTGGCCATAAATTTTCAGGCAGCCTGTCCAAACCCACCTCAGATGTCCTGTGTACATTTAAAGAGCAGCACATTTGCTTTGTCCTTTGAAATGTTTTTAAGACGACTCCTCAGTGTCCCCTCAGTGGCAGGAATTTGACAAGGGATCAAGGTGGAATTGCAGCTGCCTGAGGAGCATCTTGGCAAGAGAAGGTGGTTTTTTTTTTTGTCCCCCCTAGAAATTCCAGAGTTCTGGATCACATTGTTCCAAGGAACACAGGGCAGTTCCTCAAGATAGCTTGTGTTTGTGTGGTTAAATTGCCATTTTCAGCCTCTAAGGTGCATTTGTTGTCTCAGAGGCAGAAGAAAACACAATGGTTGTTGTTGTGCTGAATGCTGAGTCTGGTGCTGGAGGTTTCAGTGCTCTAACCTGGGGCATTTGAGGTTATTGCACCACAATGTTGCACTTATTCACTGAGCAATATTGCAATATTGCATTTCTCCACTGAGCCACTGCTTTGACTCCTTCCCTGAGAGTCCCCAAAACAAGCCATGAGATTGTGCCTTTCCTGCCACACTTGGAGGCAAAATCCCATCTGAACATAAAGGATTCCCTCTCACCCTTGCAGATGGAGCAAGGTTGGGCAGCTGGACTCTGGATTCTCTTTTGTCTCTGCCTGATTTCAGGGACCTGAGTTGGGACATTTTTGGTGTGTAACAGGGAAGGATTAACCAGCAGCTTGGACATTATCTTCTAACAGAGATAAAGATGAAAGCCAGGCTCAGGGTGAGAAGGCAAGGGAAGCCAGAAGGACATGGCACAGCTGAGTTCAGCTGCTCCCTGCACGTGGCCTTGGAGAAGCATTTTTGTCATCAGCCTCATTGCAGGAGACCTGGAAGGGCAGGAAAATCCTTGGAGTGCATTCCAGGGGAACTCGAGTCCCCTAAAAGTTTGATTTTGGCTTCCAGACTGAAATAATTCAGGTGCCACCTGGAAAGGACCATGAGTGGATCCCTGGATCCCTGGATTAGGTCTCTGTGTCCCTTTTTTCCCATCTATTCACCTCACTGGGTGTAAAGGACTGAACATACACATATTTCTGTGACATTTTTGGTTCCAGTCCCTAGGGATCAATCTTATGACACGACCAAGGCTTAATTCCTTAGAAAGAAAAAGAGTGAGGAGTTTACTGGGCATGGAATTATGGCCAAGGGTCAGCCCCTGAGCAGTAAATCCCAGCAGATGGAATGATAAACTCTGAGCTTTGGGAGAGGGTTGGGTGTTTCCAGGAGAATTTGGAACAAGTCTTTCCTTCTCCACCTGCACATGCCATGAAGGCCATGTGGAATGGCAACTTCACCTAACTCTAGCACAGTCCATGTAGTTTTGGAGACCTTTTTTTTTAGGAATCTGGATCTCCACAGCAGCTGCAGCCCCGAGGATCTGTGTGAGGGGTTGGGAATCAGTCGTGCATTTACCCCTGACTTAGGAAAGCCAAGGGTTGAAGCTGCACGAGCAGCAAGCAAACTCCCTTCCTCTGACCTTTTGCAGCTTAATAAATCTTTCAGATTCCTTTTCCCATGGGGCTCTCCCAGTTGTTTACAAATTTCTCAGCATGGGACCCTTTTCACTATAAATAATGGGAGAATTTCGTGGCTTTGTTTTCCATGAAAAAAAAAAGAGTACATCAAGGAGCTTTCTCCTTCCTCCACCCTTTCCTATTCAGCTTATGGAGAACTATTTTTAGCTCTTCAGACCTGGCTCCAGGATAATGATGACACGTTTTTAAAATGCCTGTAATTCCAAATTCTCAAAAAAACAATGTGGCAGAAATGCTTTTGTGCTGGAGTGCTGAGACTGGGTGTGAACTCAGAACTCTTCTTTTCCTACCTGGGAAATTCAGGAACAAAGCAAACTCCCTCTCCCAGGGCAGAAATCCTGGCAAAGTCAGGACATCATTGGGATTCTTAGCATTAATTCTGTCTGCAAGCTTTTAAAACTTTGCTTTTACTGAGATCTTCCTTTCATAAACCAGAATAACCTGACGGGCAAAAGGAAGTGCTGCTGGGAAATCCTTTGAGACACTGGGCAGGTGGATGAAACAATTCTTTCCACACCCCAGAGAGCACACACTCCTCCCCTGGCCACAAAATACATCCAAAAACCCCCAGGTGCTTGAGTTCAAACATTTACTAGTTGAACAAAAGCATGAGATGAAAGAGAGAAATGTTTTGTTTTTAAACTTCCAACCCTGGTATTGGGCTCTGGTTTTGAAATCAGCCTGATCACACCTCTTGTCTCAATCTCTCATGATAAATAAGCCACAGTGAGGAGTTTTATTTCAGACACAGCTGCCAAAACCAGACAGAAATAAATTTCTCTCCCATTTTAAAGGCTTCACTCACCTGTGGCACCTGTGGGTTCTCACTTGTCAGTGCAGTATAAATGATACAAATGTTAGTTTGATTTTTTCTTTTCATTTTTCTTTTCTCACTGACAGCAAAGAACATCCCTCCTGTGCTGCCTCAGAAGGGAAGCAGCATGGATGGACTGAGACCCCCACAGAAGGAGTGATGTGGCAGCAGGGGAAATTCAGCTGTAAAATGTGTCTTCATTTACAGACACCTCCTTAGGGCCTCCCTAGTCACAGTCTCAATTGTTCCTTTATCAACTTTCTAAAGAGGAAAATTGCAAATTGCCTCTGAAATCTTCCAACTCTTCCCCCTAAGACTGAACTTTTTACATTATTTAGAAGAGAGGGGCTCTTTTCTCTGTAATGGGTCATGTCTGGGGACTGGTAAATTAATACTTGTTTACTTATATCCTCCTGCTGTTCTGTTCAAATACATTTCAAGGGCTCCTCTTGCTGCATTAAGGATATCAGCATGTTGTTTGTTTTATAACCTGGGAGAGAGCATAACAATATAGCTTCTCACCAGGGTGCACACCAGCAACAAATTGAATAAAAGGAAGCAAACTGATTCTCAGAACACAGAGCTTCTGGGTAATCAGAATTGCAGATGCTTGGCTGAGTGTTAAAGCTCTTGGCCATCAATCTGACCTTCTGCTGTCTTATTATTGGAGAAACTTTCTGGGTGTACTTTGGGGGAGAAACATGAAAAAATGCCAAGTAAAAAATACTTGGGGGGGACCAGGGCTTTGTGGCATTGTTGTGTCAGTTTTAGCTAAGAAAACCAGCTTTAAAACCTTTAATTTTGTAAAAATGCGAACATATTAGAAATCCTAAATGTTGCACAAAAGAAGGATGGCAGCATTTAATGTCACTGAATTGAAATATTCATCTTCTTTTCATCAAGAAAATGAACGAAACATGAATCCCCCTTCACCAGGAGCCACCCATGAGCCCCATGTATCCCCAGAGTACAATTAGCAATGATCTGTTAAATCCCTGTCTGCTGCCCCCACACCCCCTGAATTTCAGTGTGGGCATCACCAGCTCTTGTGCCAGGGAGACCAAAAAGGAATCCCAAATGGGCAATGATGGATGATTAGAGACTGATCAAGGTCACTGCAGTGGAACAAGTTTGGCTCCAGCTCCCTGACCTGGCTGGAGGAAAAGCCAATTTGTGCCCTGTCCATCTGCTGAAACTCTTCCCACACACTTCTCAAGGCAGGGAGAAATTCCTGCAATCCCAGTTTTCCTTCCCAATTCTTTCCCCACTGAATCCACAGATGTGGGATCAAAAAAAAAAAAAAAAAAAAAAAAAGAAAAAAAAGAAAAAAAAAAAGGGGCTGCTGTAGGACCTTAAAGAGTCCCTGTTGCTTGGTGTCTACAAAGTTCAGGAGAAAGGCCAAGTCCTTCTCATCTCTCCTGGCCAGGACACTGAGCGGGGCAGCTGCCCCTGCCACGTTCCTGCTCTGCAGCTGCAGCACAGCCAAGCGAGCCCTGGCAAAGTCCTCAGCAGGACAGGGGCCAAAGGCTTCCTGCAGGTGCTTGAGGGCCTCTTGGTGCCTTCCTGTTGGGGAACACCAGCACAAACCCCATAACCCATCCCACGGGGAGAAAGGTACTGAGAAACCACAGCGAGGCAGGGTTCAGGCAGCCAGTCCATGTCTAAAGGTGTTAATTATGTCATACCTGTCCCAAAGTGTTTTCAAACTTCTCTTGAGAAGCACCATCCAGCACCATCCAGAACCATCCAGAACCATCCAGCACCATCCAGAACCATCCAGCACCATCCAGAACCAATCAGAACAATCCAGCCCCAACCAGAACCATCCAGCACCATCCAGCACCATCCAGAACCATCCAGAACCATCCAGCACCATCCAGAACCATCCAGCACCATCCAGAACCATCCAGAACCATCCAGAACCAATCAGAACCATCCAGCACCATCCAGAACCATCCAGAACCATTCAGAATAATCCAGCACCATCCAGAACCATCCAGAACCATCCAGAACCATTCAGAATAATCCAGCCCCATCCAGAACCATTCAGCATCATCCAGCCCCATCCAGCATTACCCAGCCCCATCCAGCAACACCCCTGACATTTCATATTCACTTCAATCCATTTTTGCTCCTTCACCAGGCCTGACCAGCCGTGCTGAAGGACTGGGACTCACCATTTGCCATCAAAACATCAATGCAGAAGATGTGATATTGTGCAGCCCTGCAGATTTTGGTCAGTGCTTTTGCCATGGTGAGAAGGCCCCCGAGGGTTTCTTCTCCTGGGACATCTTTGGTGGCCACGAGCTCGCTGAGAGTGGCCCTGCCATGCTGGAGGAGCCACCCAGTGATCAACCCTTGGGTTTCAGGCTTCAAGGACAGGATTGCTGGGATCACTGCTCCTGCCTGCACCTTCAGTGCTGAGAACAGATCTTGCACTGCCTCCTGTGGAAAAACAACACCAAGGAAAGAAATGGAAGCAATAATTAAGTATTGATCATTTGTTCTTTCAGCTGCTTTCTGTTCTCTGCTGAAACATGGAGAAACTTTGTTTTTCCTTGTCCTTGTGCTGCAACTTTTCCATTTGCAAAGCTGATAGGGGGTCATAAAGGCAGGTTTGAATGAGTGTTTGCAAAGTGCTTTAAACTCCTTGGATTATCACAGAAAATTGTGACCAAGGTTTAGCCCTCCTCTCCCTAAGCTTGGGAAAGAAAATCAGTAAAGCCAGATGGGCTGTTCATACACCCAGCCAAACTCAGAGCCTTTCACTGCCCAAATCCTGATTCCAGTGATTCCACAACAAATTCTGTGATGCTTTACACTCATATTGTTCAGAAAAACCAGCAAAGCCCCACATGGACAGTACCTTCTGCTGCCTCAGAGCGAGATGAACAAAGCCTCGGCCACTCAGAGCTTGCACATTCCTGGGATCTTCCTTCAGGACAGCATTAAAATCAAAAATTGCAGTTTTCATCTGCCCAAGGCGCCCATAGCATCGGGCCCTGGTGAGGAGGCAATCCTCAGCATAACCACCTGGAGGACAGGGATGCAGCCATGGTTACTGCAAGGATACCCACAGGAAGCTCCAAAAAAGCTCCACTTGGCCTGAGGATACCTCAGGATGAAGTACAATGACAGTTTTCTTAAGTGGAAATTTCCTGTATTTTTGTTGCAAGTGGAATTCCTGCCACGTGTTATCAGCCATGAGTTGGAAGGGAAGAAGAATCTGTGTCAGGTTGGAGTGGGAGCAGCAGGAATGAGAGGAGAAAGCTCTAAGAGGGAGATCTATGACTATGTGAGAGTGGAGGCACGAAGCCATTTGGCTGTTTTAATAAAGTGGGGTCAGAATCACAGAATAGTTTGGGTTGGAAGGGACCTTAAAGAGTCCCCAACCCTCTCCCACGGGCAGGGAAGGTACACATTGTTTTGGATAATGAGTTATCCAGATGGGACTGACTAATTCTCTGCCAGAATTAATATGCACTGGGATTTGTGATACTGAACTGCTTTTTTTTTTTTTGTCCTCTGCTTTCACACAAGTGCTGCCCAAATAAACACATTGAGTTGTCAGAGAAAATCCTGGTGCCCCCATTCCCTGCCTGCAGAGCATTTCTCTGCCTGCCATCCACATATCCCTTCCTTCCAAGGCAATTTCGATAAGGATCTTAACATGCCCAGGGTTGCAATCAATAATTGTGGCATCCAATATTGGATGATAAATCATCAGTGCCACTGGAAATATGTTTTCATAGGGAGGTCATCAAATGCAGCTGCCTGCAGGGATCAGCCAGCAGACAGGCTCCAAGCAATTCCTCTGCAGTAATGAGGCTTTTTCTCCCGCCTGATTTGCTCCAAAACTTCTGTACCAAAGGTTATTATCACTCTGGAGCTCTACCAGTTGGCTCCTCTAAAGACAATATCTATTTCTTAACAAGCATCTGTTCTAGCAGGTGGGGAGCTGATAAGCTGGAATGCACAGGCTGTGAAATGGAACCATCTCCAAGCAATTAACAGGGTTTTTATTCCATTTCCACGAGCCAGTCTCTCTTCTCCTCAGTGCTGCTGTCATAACATTTGCTCAGAGTGAAAGGCAGATTTCCATACAAACATGGTTTTACTTGGAACACGCCAGAAGAATTTCCATGTCAGCCTGGTCTCTCTCCCGAGGGAAAGCTGGGATAGTGAAATGTGTGAGGGGGCTGCATTCACTTCTTTGCACTGGCTGAAGAAAAGGGGGTGATGTCCCTGTAGAACTGAGCTGAACCCATTTCAAGGAATTTAAAATTCCTTATTGTTGAACTCCACCACTTCACGGCCCGGGTGAACGTGCTGTGTCAGCCCTCAATGGGGAGGTGACAGAGGGACATCCTCCCACTCACATGATTTCCCTCAGGAGCAAATCCCCACGGGCATCCTGGCGTCCTACCTGCAGCAAGGATGGCAAAGGACAGGTGGGCAATGGCCTCTTTGATGGCAGCAGCCTCCTGTTTGCCCTTCAGGAGGGCCAGGGCTCGCCAGCGGCAGTGGCTCTGCAGCAGCTTTCGGTCCTCCTCCTGGAAAATGTCCAGCACTGGCAGGAGGCAGGAGGAGTCTCCAATTCTGATCAGTCTCCTCAGCAGCTTTAGGATGGGAGAGGAAAAGGCAGCAGAAAAAGAGTTGGATGGGATGTGAGGTTGTGTGTGAGAGCTTTGTGTGCTTCCCCAGCATCCCCAGCTCTCCCTGGGGGTTCAGTCAGGCCAGGATCACAAATTTGCCTGATTTATCTCCCCAGCTGGCCCTGCTGTGAATGCAGGCTGGACAAAACAGGGATTTTTATCTTTCCTCACCACCACTACAGCTGTGGAAATAATTCTGGGCAAATACCTGTGCTGCCTGCTTTGTTTTGGGTAGCATCCACATTGGAGTGTTTTTATAAATACAGGATGATTGCCCAAAAAAGAGAATGTTCCTGTGGAACACAAGAATTCCAGTGACCCTTTTGACTGCAAAATCAAAACTAGTGAATTAATGGAAAATTAGGGAACTGCTGTAAGTTATTTTTAGTATTGTTATTGGTAACCTGGGAAAAGCATGGATTCAAACCCACAAAGTACTGTCCTTCTGGAAAAGAATCCTGTCTGACCTTTGGTATCTTTGCCTCAACAAGCACTTTTTAAACATAATTTCCAAAGAAAATTAATCAAAAGATGGTTTTTAGAGTGCTCAGGAGGGACTGGATATTCAAATCTGAGCCAGAGAAACCTGGACAAGAACAAAGTTATCCTGATGTACCAGACACATCCCTTGAACTCATAAATTTCTCTATTTTATTGATAGATAAAAGTGACCGGCATCTGACAGGCAGGTGGGATAAAAATATTTTGAAGAGAAATATTCAGATGTTCCATGCAGAACTTGCAGCAGAAGCTGCAGATGGAATTCCAACCTCTAAGGAGAACATTCTAATAAAGCCACACCCTTCATTAACAGCCATCCCAAAGGCAGCAAATTACAGCAAACTTTTATTTTTCTTTGGGAGCAGTGAAGTGCTGACAATAAAACCTTTCTCCTTATTGGTCAGCAGAATTTATATGGCATTTTAAAAAGAATACAAGAGTTCCCTCTGACGGCAGAGCCTGGGAATTCAGCTTTGTAATCCTGGGTAGGAGAGCCAACTTGCTGGAATGGCTTTCAGGGTTTCCAGCACAATTTATCAACATTGGAGAAAGAAAACTGCAGACTGATATTGGAGTTTCTGCACTTGTGTTTTTCTTCTCCAATGCTTCATTAGGATAACTGGGGAGGTGGCACTTGTGCCTTCTTTCCTCTAAGGGAACATTCCAATCCCATAATGTTGTCCCCAGGGACAGGATGCTCTGCCTGGTAGAAGTGCTGAGAAATGCCATTAAAAAGCACGTGAGAAATGAGCTGGATTTAACTGGGAGTCCTTGTGTGGCCTTTTTGACACAAATTCCTGTGATTCCATGATTTTATGGCAATATCAGCCCTGTATTTAATCATTTAAGTTCTGCTAGAGGTTCTGCATGTGGGCTCCAAGTTTCACTGTGTCACAGCTCTCCCTGCTGCTCTTCAGAGAGCTCCTAACAGCAAAGTTTAGTTATAAAGGGGAAATGCACCCAAACCACTGAACACAGGGATTAATCTGTAATTTCACTGTGGAATGGGAAAAAATCTGGCAAAGCTGTTGAGGAGGGAATGACCCCGAGGATGAGGCTTTCCAGGTGCTCCTTACCTGGTTGCCATCATACAAAAAGCCTCTCTTGAGCTGCAGCAGGGCCAGCCTGGCCAGCACAGGAGCCCTCTGGGGGTTTCTGGAGAGGGCCAGTGACAGCATCTTGTGGGCTTCTTCCCCACGGCCCATCTGGTACAGGGCATCAGCACACAGGATCTGGGATGCCTCATCGGAGCTGTCCAGCTCCACCAAGAGAGAAGCCAGCTGGAAAACCCCAGGGGCATCTCTGGAGGGGAAAAACAAAAGCCAATTAAAAAAAAAAAAACAAACACCTTCAAGGTTAGGAATGTGCACAGCCCTGTTTGCTTTTTCTGAAAGGAAACTGAGCTGCCTCCTGGCTACCTCTTCTTCTGGAGCATCATCTGTCCTTCCTCCTGGAGGACCTTCAGCAGCAATCCCCTCTGGTTCCATGGCACGTAGGACTTGATGGTGAAGATGGTTTCATCCAGCTTTAACTGGCAAGCTGTGATATAATCCAGGGCTGTCAAGTAATTGCTGCCACCAGAAATTCGGATCAGCCCACGCCCACACAGGGCTTTGATGCAGCTGTTGGGATGGGGGGACTCGTGCTCGATGACCCTCTGGAAGTCCTGCAGGGCTCCCTGGTGGTCCTGGGCATGGAGGGAGCAGAAGCCTCGCAGTGCCAGCAGGGTGTTGTGGTAAGTGCTCTGCTCTGCTGCCAGCAGCTGCTCACACATGTCCAGGGCGGCCCCGGGGTGTCCCTGCAGGAGGTGACATTCTGCCAGCCGGACACTGAGCTCCCGGCTGGACCCTGGGCAGATGTGCAGGAGCAGCTGGATTGTCTGGATGACAGGAGGGAGCAGCTCAGTGCCACAAGTGCCCCTGAGCTCAGCCCGAGCACGCACAGCCTCCCTGTATGCTGCAAACCTCCCCTCCAGGGCAGCTCTGGCCTGCTCCTCGACCTTCTCAGCATCACAGGGTGAGAAAAGCTCTTCAAAGCGTTTCATTGCCTGGGCAGGGTCTGCTGCAAAGGCTGCTGCTAAATCCTGCATCATTTCCTGTGTGCATCCTCCCAGGAGGAAATACCCAGCAGCTCGCTCCAGGAGGAGAGCCAGAACATCCTCACCTCTGAGATTCTCAGCTGAGAATCCCTCAAGGGCCCTGGTGCAGACAGCCACACACTCCTGAAACTCTCCTGTTTTTCGGAGGTGGGCTGCCCGTGCCCTGCACACCCAGGTGTGCCCGGGTGCCACCGCAGCCAGGAAGCTGTAGCAGTCACCCAGCCACTTCTCCGAGGATTTGCAGCTTGGGCTTCCCTCCTGGTACATGGAGAGATGATCAGAGAAAGCCTGGACGACCTGGGGCAGGTGCTCCCTTTGCCTGCTGCACACGTAGGCCGCTGCCTCAGTTTGGTGCAGCAAAAAGGCTTGGACGTAATCCATAATTCCCTTCCCAACCTGTGTCCCTGAGAGAACCCGTGCCAGCGCCCTCAGCAGCAGCAGCTCCATGGAGCCCCTTGGGTTATCCTCCAGCAGGAGATTGCATTTTCTCACCACCTCCTCCGAGCACCCTCGCCGCAGCAGGGCCTCCAGCTCGTACACAGAGGCCACCAAGTTTTTGGGGATCAGGGTGGAGAGGAAAATTGCAGCTATTCCCACGCTGAGGGACACCACGGCCAGGTTCCTGCTCTGGATTTTGGGGATCTGAGCCTTGCCTTGGCACCAGGCCTCCAAGGTGGCCACCACTCGCTCCCAGAGCCCGCAGGCCATGGAGTTCACTCTCTGCGCTGCTGTGGGGGCACAGCAGCTGAAGGCGGCCAGGTAAAAAGCCGTGGCTGCTGGAAATTCCTGCTGGGAGAGGTGCTCGTCCCCTTCCCCACAGAGCAGGGCGGCGAGCTCCTCGGGGGACATTTCCTGTGCTTGGGCCTTCACCGAGCGGCATCACGGGCGGGACATGGCCGGGGCCTGTAAAACAGAAATGAGGGGAAGCAGAGCAGGGTTTGAGCAGAAAATCATCAGTGAGGGGTTGTGGAGCTGAGTTTTATTAGAGAACTAGCAGTGAGGGGCTGTGGAGCAGGGTTTGAGCAGAAAATAGTCAATGAGGGGCTGTGGAGCTGAGTTTTATTAGAGAATTAGCAGTGAGGGGCTGTGGAGCAGGATTTGAGCAGAAGATAATTAATGAGGGCGTGTGGAGCAGGGTTTGAGCAGAAAATCAGCAGAAAATCTTCAGTGAGGGGCTGTGGAGCAGGATTTGAGCAGAAAATAATCAGGAGGAGTTGTGGAGTAGGGTTTTGACAGAAAATCAGAAATGAGGGGCTGTGGAGCAGAGTTTGAGCAGAAAGTCAGAAATGAGGGGCTGTGGAGTAGGGTTTGAGCAGAAAATAATCAGTGAGGAGTTGTGGAGTAGGGTTTTGACAGAAAATCAGAAATTAGGGGCTGTGGAGCTGGGTTTTAGCAGAAAATCAGAAATGAGGGGCTGTGGAGCAGGTTTTGAGCTGAAAATCAGCAGAAAATCATCAGTGAGGGGCTGTGGAGCAGAGTTTGAGCAGAAAATAATCAATGAGGGGCTGTGGAGCAGAGTTTCAATAGAAAATAATCAATGAGGATCCATGAAGCAGAGTTTTAGCAGAAAAACAGCAATGAGGGGCTGTGGAGCTGACTTTTGACAGAAAATCATCAGTGAGGGGCTGTGGAGCACAGGTTTGAGAGAAAATCAGCAATGGGAGACCATGGAGCAGAATTTTAGCAGAAAATCAGACACGAGGGGCTCTGGAATACAAGTTTTTCCATTTGGAGGGAGCAGCTTTTCACATGCCAGATGCCAGCAAGCCCAGGTGCAGTGAAAAGCCAAGGTTTGGTCACTGCCAGGTTTCTGGGGGAGTAAAGCCACGAGGAGAAACATCACAGAGGTTGGGAAGCACCCAGCCCCCCTTGTCAGCGCTCCCTGCCCATGGAATGAGGCTGGGACAACCATTTCATAAATCTTTAATCATCAATGTCGCCGCTGGCGGGGGACACGGAGGGGACAGAGCCACACCTTGATGCTTCACCCAGCCCTTACCTTTTCCACTGGCCTGGAGGAAGGAGGATAAAATCGGCTTTTTTCCACCAGGCTGCTGCCCCTCATCCCGCACACCTGAGCCCGGCCCTGCCGATACCTGAGAGGGGACGAGCCCGGAGGGATGGAGGAAAGGAAAGAGAAAAGGAGGGAGGGAGAACAGGGCAGGAGTGTTGCCTGGAGACCGCAAACACTGCCCGGGTGTCCTGCGGGGCGGGGACGGGCACGGGAATCGTGCCTGCCCTTCTCCCTCCTTATCCCGAGGGACCGGGAGGGATGCTCAGGGCATGGCCAGGGCAAGGATCTCCCTCATCTGAAGAAATGATGGTTCACCTCGGGGAAAGGATCTCCACTGCTTTGGGGAAAGGATCCCACTCACGTTTTAGCAGAAAATAATAAATGAGGGGCTGTGGAGCAGAGTTTCAATAGAAAATAATCAATGAGGAACCATGAAGCAGAGTTTTAGCAGAAAAACAGCAATGAGGGGCTGTGGAGCTGACTTTTGACAGAAAATCATCAGTGAGGGGCTGTGGAGCACAGGTTTGAGAGAAAATCAGCAATGGGAGACCATGGAGCAGAATTTTAGCAGAAAATCAGACACGAGGGGCTCTGGAATACAAGTTTTTCCATTTGGAGGGAGCAGCTTTTCACATGCCAGATGCCAGCAAGCCCAGGTGCAGTGAAAAGCCAAGGTTTGGTCACTGCCAGGTTTCTGGGGGAGTAAAGCCACGAGGAGAAACATCCCAGAGGTTGGGAAGCACCCAGCCCCCCTTGTCAGCGCTCCCTGCCCATGGAATGAGGCTGGGACAACCATTTCATAAATCTTTAATCATCAATGTCGCTGCTGGCGGGGGACACGGAGGGGACAGAGCCACACCTTGATGCTTCACCCAGCCCTTACCTTTTCCACTGGCCTGGAGGAAGGAGGATAAAATCGGCTTTTTTCCACCAGGCTGCTGCCCCTCATCCCGCACACCTGAGCCCGGCCCTGCCGATACCTGAGAGGGGACGAGCCCGGAGGGATGGAGGAAAGGAAAGAGAAAAGGAGGGAGGGAGAACAGGGCAGGAGTGTTGCCTGGAGACCGCAAACACTGCCCGGGTGTCCTGCGGGGCGGGGACGGGCACGGGAATCGTGCCTGCCCTTCTCCCTCCTTATCCCGAGGGACCGGGAGGGATGCTCAGGGCATGGCCAGGGCAAGGATCTCCCTCATCTGAAGAAATGATGGTTCACCTCGGGGAAAGGATCTCCACTGCTTTGGGGAAAGGATCCCACTCACCTCAGGGGAAGGATTCCTCTCACTTTGGGGAAAGGATCCTCCTCACCTTCGGGAGAGGATCCTCCTCACCTCAGGAAAGGATCCCCCATCACTTTGGGGAAAGGATCCCCATCACCTTGGGGAAAAGATTCCACTCACTTTGGGGAAAGGATCCTCCTCACCAACGGGATAGGATCCTCCTCACCTCAAGAAAAGATACCCATCACCTTGGGGAAAGGATCCCCCTCACCTCAGGGGAAGGATCCCTCTCACTTTGGGGAAAGGATCCTCCTCGCCTTCGGGAGAGGATCCTCCTCACCTCAGGAAAGGATCCCCCATCACTTTGGGGAATAATAACTACTCTTACTTTTTAAAGGATCCCCCTCACCTCAGGAAAAGGATTCCACCTACTTTGGGGAAAGGACCCCCCTCACTGTGGGGAAAGGATTCCACCTACTTTGGGGAAAGGATCCCCCTCACTTCAGGGAAAGGATTGCACTCACTTTGCTGAAAAGATCCTCCTCACCTTGGGGAAAGGATCCTTCTCACTTTGGGGAAATGTTCTCCATCACCTTCAGGAAACTAACCCAGGTCATGACCCTCAGCAGGACAAGATACAGGGAATTACTTACACAAACCAGCAAATTCTGTGATGCAGCCTAAACTTTTAATCTTATTTTTTATTAATAAGCCTTATATTTTAATTATAAATATAAGTTTTAATAGTAATACTAATTTTTAATAACTACTCTTACTTTTTAAAAATAACCCTTATCTTTTAAATAATAACCCTTATTTTGAAAGAATGGCCCTTATTTTTTAACAATTGGAGTGTTTTTAGTAATAGATCAAGTCTGTTTTTAGGAGTGTTTAGCCTGATGATGTCCCTTTAAGCCAGGGCCACTCTGAAGCCCAACTCCTTCTTTCTCTCTCCACATTCTTTGACATTCAAAAGAGTAAAAAAACCCTCTATGATGAATAGAGTTTTTTGACATTTTATTAAGAGTTTGCCCATTACGTTGATTTGATTACTTTCAGTTTAATTACCCTAATTAGCCATCAAGATATAATTTAGCATTGCTGTCACATTGGGCCACAGGTGATATTGCCAGGAAAAGACTCAAGGGCACGACAGAAGCAGTTCTGAAATAGAAATCACATTAAGGGGAGCTGGCTTGATCAAATGCCTCTGCCCCTCCTCGGAGGCTCAGGCAGAGCTTGTGGGAATAAAACTGGGACTGGAGCCTCCAACAGAGCCTGGTCCAGGCTGCAAAAATCATTACCCATCATCTGACTTTGCTGCATGACTGAGTGGGCTGGAAGTTGCTCCCAGCCACGTTTTGCCCTGTAGATACAGAGAATGTGAGGATGGCATTGTCCTCCATCCATCATTTCCAGCTGGAAAAGGCTGGTTTGGATAAGGATCCCCTGTGCTCCCTGATGTACACGGATGGTTTAGGGGATGCTGTGCTTGGCCAAAAAGGCAGCGGCCTCATGAAATGTTGTTTTGTTGACTTTAGGTGAGGAAAACACAGCCAATTTTACATCGTGTATCAAGCTTAAATCAATTTAGGTTCTTAACTTTGAAGCTTGAAGGAATAAGAGGAGCAACATCTAAGGAGCAGAGTGGAAAAAGAGAACATTTCTCTGTGCCTTGGTGTGATCCCTGAGAGTGTGAGTGTTTAAACCTGTTGTTGTAAGAGGTGGAACCAGCAATGCCTCTTAAAGACTTACAGGCTCTTCTCAAGCCCCCAGACAATTTGCTGTGTGTCCTGTGGGGTAGATAAGACCAGCTCCTTTCCTAAAAGGGTCATAAAAACATAGGGGAGGAGGGATAAACTGTGAAGATGTCTATCTAAACATTAAATATTAAGTCTGCTACACATTCATTAAATAGTAACTCTGCTACAAGAGCTCCTCGGGATGTCTCTGATTACCGATGAATTTTTAAAGGGAGGTGGGTGGGGAGGGAGTAAATACAGAATAAGTTTGCAAACTTTCTTTTTCCTGCTTTGCAGAGCAGGGGGTGCACAAACACATCTGCAACAGCGCTTCTCAGAGTCAGGGCTGAGAAATCTTGCACTTCTTTCTTTTAAAGGCTCTCAGTTCCTGCAGTGTAACAAGTCCCTTCTCTTATGGCTGTTAAATGCCACGTGTAGCTATGGCTGAGGCTGAGAAACCAGCATTTTGGGGTTGAAAATTTGGCTTAAAAGAAGGGTGACCTTCCTTTGACAGAAAGGAGCATAACGGAGTGGTGTATTAAAAATATAAAAAAAATCTTTGACTTATGTGATGACTGTTTTTCACTCTGAGCTGGAGAGCAGACACCAAATTCTGCTCTCTTTAGGTTGGTGTGAGCAATGCCAAATTCTTCTCTCTTTAGGCTGGTGTGAACATTCAGGCTGGGGAGTGAATGTTGTCCTAATGATCCAGGCTGAGTGCCCTCCCCACTGAAGCCAGAGGAGCTCTGCTGGTGTCTGAAGCCACAGGATGAAATTTCATCCTGAGGCATCTTTAGTTCCACGCCCTCAGTCTGTTGGGAGAGCTGGGCTGCTGGGAGAAAGAAGGTCCCCTCTGAGCCTCCTTCTCTCCAGGACTTAAAATCCTATTATAGAATGTGTTACACAGCTCTTCAGTCAAACTTTTCTGCTCACCAGGGAATCACAACCTCCTGGGTGCATGAAGGTGTGTGGGCACAGAAAGCCAAGGTGATCTCTCTATGTACTGGACTATTTTAATCTCTGCTCACCCAATAACAATAATAACAAAAAGAATTGTAGACATCCTCCTTAAGGAGCAGGATTAAAATGCACTTGAGTGAGATTACAAGAAAAGAGTGGTTGTTCCATTAGAAAAAGGAATAATCAGGAATAATCCCTTTGTTTATGTTCTGGAGATTAAAGCAGTGACAGCAGAAAGCATCCAGAGGTCACTACACACAGACTTTGCTGTCTCAGCGGCTGGCTGGGCTGTGGCTCTGGGGTTCAGCTGTGCAGTTGCAGAATTTAATCTGTTCTCCTTGAGCTGGGAATTCTGCAGTAGCTCTGTGTGAGGCAGGGAAGTGGCTCTGCCTATTCCACAGTAACAAAGGTTGTGCTTGACCAGGACTAAAAATCTGTGGGGTGAATGAAGGAGGTTCCCCTGCGATGTTCATGATGCTCCTTTAGGATGGTCACGCACCTGCCTTCCCCTCTGAGGTTGCATCTCTGATACAAAGGCTCAAAGGTAGAAATTTCCAGCTGCAATGACAGAATTATGAGGTTGGAAAAGGCTTCCAAGATCATCAAATCCAACCTGTGACCAATCACCACCTTGTCATCCAGACCAGAGCTCTGAGTCCATGTCCAGTCATTAAATTGGTGTTTAAGAGAGCTCTCAAACATGTGGGTGGAAGGTGGCCCAGGCTGGAGAAGTTTTATCCTGGTTATTTTATAATCTGACCCAGTCAGGATCTGGCTGAGTATTACAAAATTCACCCCCTGTAATCTTGTCCTTTCCTGCTCTGAGTTATTCCACTGGAATTTCCCAGCCCGGCTTTGCAGTCCAGGATTTTCTAGATGGAAAGTGCTGAAATCAGGAGCAGTTGGGCCATGTGTGACTGGGGACCAAGACCAACCTCTGGGTATCCAAACACTCCAACATCCCAGACTGCCCACCCTCATAACTGGGCTGATTTTCCATCTGGCTCAGCACCTCTGTGGCCAGTGGGGGACATTGGAACGGGTTTGTTTGAACAAATTCCTCAATGTGCCAAACGAGGAGCATTCCAAAGGAATAGCTGTGCCCTCTGCTTCTGCTCTTCCCAGTGCAAAGTGACAAAGTCATCACATTTCTGGTGTGATGTGTGATTTTCCATGTTTA